AGTATATGTTTACAGGCCATAATTATCACGTTCAAAACGGAATCAACCACGAACTCTGATTGGATGATATGTAAGTACTTGTAGTTAGTCATACACCACAAGACAGAAAGGAGGAAGAATGACTTGAACACATAACACAATTTTTATATTGAGGACTAAACAACGCTGTGTAATAAATGAAAGTTTCCTTTCTGTGATCTAATTTATTCTGCTTTTCCTTTTTTCCTCTTACGGTTTACCTGTTTTTTTCCTTTAAGTTACAAACAAATGAACTGCTTCAAATTCTAAACGAGCTTAGCGTTATTTTGCATTGTTTAATGAGTTTACTGATTCACGAATTTACAACTAATTTGTTTCAATAACAATAAATACGTATTGTTCAATTATTTTAAGTTAACAGACTGATTTAGCTTGGATCTTATAAAATAACTCACTAACGGTTTTGAACTTTATAACTGTCGTAAAATGCATTATTTAATTTTGCTTTGTTTTTACTCGAGTGTCTAGTCCGTTTCTTGGTAGTTATTTTGGTTAAGTATGGTGAGCACGTATTTTTGTTAATCAAAACGAATTGCTTGCAAATGATTAATACTTTCAATGCATTATAGTGACATCAGCACAAAATTCAATCTCAGAGCACCTGTTTTTCAAAACTTTCCTGGGGCATGCCCCCAGATCCCCTAATACTGGCATGCTTTGCAACCTATTCTGAGTTGCCTGACCAGTCCAGAAATGCTTCCTTCACCTCTGACGTGATTTGACTACAAGTATACGTATCATGACGCATTAGTATTACACTTATTACACTACAATCGCCCCACCCCCAGTGGCACAGCAGTATGTCTGCGGACTTATAACGCTAGAATCCGGGTTTCGATACCCGTGGAAGGCAGAGCACAGATAGCCCATTGTGTAGCTTTGTGCTTAATTACAAACAAACAAACGAATCACTGCAATCTTTATTTAGTCCTTTATGTTGTTTCAAGAATAATAAAAGTGTATAATAATATTATCCTAACCACATTATTTTGTCATTTGCATTGCCGACTACGCGTTTCGCTCAGTACAGAGCTTTTCAGGCCAGTAATAGGTCTAATACTGATGTTATGACAAGTATAATTATAATCATTTTTCGACAGCTAGGAAAATAGCAATTGTATATATGTGTGTTAGATATTTATTTTATTTTCCACCAGAGGTGAAATTGAAATGAGAATCTTTGATGTAGAGGCCTAATGCATTCCCTAATTGGACGTACCCTCTGCTGTGGACTGCAGTTTCGCCTATTCAAGGCTCATCAGGACAGCACAACTTGACAAGTGCCCTGTCTGTGCTGCTGAAATAAAAGAAAGACTTATATAGTTAGTGATAAATTATTTGAGACAAAGATATGAATTCTGCGTGGAGGTTGTTTGGCTTATTTGGTCATAAAGGAAATGTATTTTTGCCATGGGGCAGACGTAGTGGATAATAAAAAAAGTAGCTGTTTGGGGGTTTTTAATCAAGGACTTTTTTTTTAAATCGGGATGCAAACTTGTAGAAACCATCTCTCATGGGTGGGCAGTAGGAGTGGAGTGTGTTAATGGGTAGGCGGTAAACGAAACATTGGGTACAGTTTTCTTGAGTTTGAATTTGGTTGTAAAGTGAATCTGTCATGTTTGAAGTAGCAGCACACGCATATTGAAATAGGGGTCATATGAAGCCTGATGGAGAAATCCAGGATGAGCTTACTGAACAAGGCCTGAAACCAGTAAAGTCGAAATGACCCCTTCACCACCAAGACCCTTGCACTCCAACCTCTACAATATTTTAACTGTTGGAGGTTTGGTCACACTTGCACTGCATGAACAGTGGATACAAGATGCGTCCAATTTGGCATCCTACACCCAATTGAAGTTTGCAAGAATCAACGAGAAGAAACGTGCTGCGCTAACTGTGTAGCCCCCCCCCCAGACAGCATCTTACTACGGGTGCACGAAATATAAGCAAGTGAGCCTTATAAAATGACAGATAAGTAACCCAACAATTATCAAATCTATTTCTACAACTTGAGTCAAGCATACCTTGAACCATTCAGAAAGGCAGAAGACCCCAGTACACAACAAAGTGACCACTCCAGCACCAAGATACATAGCAACACCTGCTAGCAAAAAATCGTACACTGATGCAACCAAGTCCCCCACAATGAAAAACAAGATGCCAGAAACACAGCTAGACACAAATGAGCTTTTCTCAAGAATCACCTCATTTGTTGCCGACGTCATGTATAGCTTTCACTAGGTCTCCAGCAAACCCAAGGATCTGCCGACATTAGCCACAGACATCGGGAATGCCGCGGCTTTTTACTTCGACCTAGACACCGTCAAGCTGGTCAACTTCACGAAAATCATCAATACTTGGACTGCCAGCCTTTGCTTATACAGGTGATCTGTTTCTATCGCTATCTAACAAATGTCTTTTACACAGTTGCATACAAAGAGGTTTCGCTTACAAAAAACTCTTTGAACTATGTAATACGTTAAAAGCATACCTCGTCAGCATAAACGAGATGCTTCTAAACGCTAACAGCAATTTAAACTTTCCAGGTTACCACATCACCCATACACCCAAAACTCCTCACCAACACAGCCGATTCACACTTGTATACAAAAATAACATAAACATCACCTTCACATCCCACCCTCCTCCACTACACAATGATTTCATTCACTGTAACGTACACCTTCCTAACAATACAGTAGAACCTCGAGTAATGGGCGCCTCGAAACAACGGGCACCTGCAACGTGCCATTAAGGGCAGACCTTTTCAGTCTCTTTCTTCTTCTAACTATTTGTAACCAAAATAAATCTTGCAATAATGGCCACCTCGATATTCCGGACTAAGGATAGTGCCTTTAGTCTCGTTCTGTATAAGGGTACTTGATAAAGTAGGCAGTTATCTTTATCTGTCTGTATGGTATACTACTAAATTCCAAAGATCCCAGAAGGATGACCAGTATTCAAACACTTGCAATGTTTACTGGATCGGCTTCAAACTATATACTGTAATAAAAGTTTTCACAGATTCAAAGTGCAATGTTATTACTCTGGGGAATTTTCGTTGTAAACACTGTAGGATGCATAAACTGATAAATTCCACATTGTGTTCTCGGAGAAGGGGTCAAGTCGGCTTATTTCTGCGCACGTGCTTTGTTGCTCACGAGATTATCGTATTACGGTGTCACATAAACAGACCAATGACACAAGTGGTGATTTGTTTCTATATTTTTCAGCGGATTTCTACATCAGTCTTAGACAGTAAAATAAACACAGAAGGTAAATGTGAAACGTTTAGCAGTTCAAACTCTGAAATTTTGTGACCAATAATAAAGAAAAAAAGGGCACAGCTAATCCACCCCCCTCCCTCAGATCTCCTGTTGACAACGCTCCATGTCATGGCAATACGCAACTCACGAACACCCGTGTTCTGCATACACCAAACAAAACGGGGACCTTAAAATTCAGAAATTTAGTATGGTCAATATGGAATTCAACTTTACATGGCTCATTTTTGATATTGAGAGCGCCCTAACCACTTGGCCATGCCAGGCCTACCTACTTTTGAAAGAAAACTTTAATTTTAAGAATTTGTACTAATATTATTGCGACAATGTATCGATACATAATTTAAAATTAATAATGCACTTAAGTGATAAAATTCTACAAGTAATGAAGAATAATAAATCTTAACTAAATTAATAATATTTTTTATTAATTTCTGGAATCCTAATGTGTTTTCCCTTCAAAATGTATTGTCCTGTTTGAATTGTTAGGTTATCGAGTCTCTTTATGACCAATGTTTTGTCTACACTGTCGTAATACTTGTTTGTTTGTTTGTAATTAAGCACAAAGCTACACAATGGCTTTCTGTGCTCCGAGTATCGAAACCCGGATTCTAGCGTTGTAAGTCCGCAGACACGGTCGTAATACAAAACATAATATCGCACTAGTTAAAAAATAAAACATTCCCTAACAAACTGAAACAACTACAGTTTAGGGCAACAACAATTATCTCGATTTCACAATAAAACAATGAAACTTTATTTCCTGATGTGAACAAGAAACATTTCGGCAGACACTGTACACGTTGTAGCCCTCATGAGTTCTAGTACTGAAATAAAAGTCTCGTTGGCAACGAGCGGCGTAAACACGCAAATTATGCGTTCGAAACGCTATTTTTATTATTTTTACTAGAACCCTATATATGGTCAGTGAAGAAAGATGTTAGTAATAAAATTATTAGCAGCCTAATTATGATATCATATAACACACCAATGATCTACTAGCAGATCTTACTTCGCCAACTTGGGCATTATTCATCGGAATAAAAGCCTTCTACATGGGACATTACGGTTCGTCAGCTTCCTGTTGCAGGGGTCTCAACTTCCTCCCACATGTACATAGAGCATGACAAACAGAAAAAAAGTTTATGATAGACAGTTTTAAAAACATGCTTGTATAGCCTGTACTTCGTGCTTGAAAGAAGCTAAACATAACTAAATAAAGAAGGTGACAAACGTGGCGTCATGAGCAAGTGCTAAGTTTAAAATGGAAATTGGGTTGAAAGACTTTAAAACTTAAATTATAGATGTTTGATGAATTTTAAATAAGTAAACGTCCATTACGTTAATCTTGCGAGTGTGGATACTATACTGTTATATGTAATTAAGAGTTTTTGTTTGTTTGTAACTAAGCCTAAAGCTACACAATGGGCTGTCTGTTCTCTGCCCACCACGGGTATCGAAACTCGGATTCTGGCGTTGTAAGTCCGCAGAAATACCGCTGTGCCACTAGGGGGCAATTAAGAGTTTAACATTTTCATTTATCATTATTTTTAATTTTTGTTAAACTATGAGAATATGAGAAATATTTTTTCTCTTTTTTTTTCATTACACAAAAATTTGTGTGTTCGAAGTTCAGCACAAAGCTACACAATGGGCTATCTGTACTCTTCCTACCACGGGTATCGAAACCCAGTTTTTAGCGTTGTAAGTCCACAGACATACCGCTGTACCACTGGGGGGCACATAAAAATTAATTCTGCCACTACATAGTTGGAATCACTGCATGCCAGCAGTCACGTGGAAGCCCATGCAGCCTGAACCCCAGGGTGTCTTGAAAATACTGTAATACTAAGTCTGCTTGCGCTGGAGTGTTACGTGAGTATAAAAACTTGTCTTTAAAAATGTTTAGTGCTTATAGGAATGTTCTTATTTGTTAAATTATTGTGGACTGTCGTTTTTAAAATGATAAGTCGTGCATAAAGATTTAATACTAAGTTTTAATTCTGTCTCACTTGTACTTTATGTGTATTTATGCATATATATCATATATATACTCAAAGATAGTTTGTTAATTTGTTTTTGAGCAAAGCTAAACAAAGGTTATGTACGCATAACCTTTCCTAATTTTGGGCTGATACACCTGAACTGGTCAACACCACCAATAACTAACTCTCTGGCTTCTCCAGTCTCATACAATAGCGACATTTGACCATCACTCTTAGAGTACACGAAGGTTCCAAAGTACAGAACGAGTTTTTGTAGAAATGAGTCCAATCAGGCTAACCAGTAGGCCACGACCGACGTTCACATACATAAATAGGATTGGATATCAAAATACGTTAGTAACATATGTTGGTTTATAAAAAGAAAAGGGGACACTTGGTTTCTTACGTTATTTTTGTACATTATTTCTTTTTTATGATCGAGTTAAATCTTAACTTTTAAGTTTCTTTTAAATCAGTATCCATTATTACTTCATTTTAACCTTGAGATTTGAACGAATTACAGACATTGTGAATTTACTTATTGTATTGTTATCGTTAATAAGATAGGGAAAATATTTTAACAATGTTAAACATTCATCGACGTCATGTAATTACAACAGCTATAACAGCGAATGAGGTGTCGTTAGGAAAATAATTTTACCTCAAATGTCATCAAAAGTCAAATATCTATATCTATCTATACATAATATTATAGACTTCGTCTTTTTGTTGTGTGGGTAAGACTAGAATTGTGTTCTAAGTACTACAGTATTAGTACACATAATAAACACGATGTTAATGATTATAATATAGGAAGTATATGATTAATAGCATAACACATTGGCGATAACTATTTTTAATATCTTAGTCTAGATGTATGCTTGTTAGAGAGACATGTTATGATTTCATCTATAAATTTCATGAAAGTTAAGAAGCTAAACATCTTGTGTAGTATGTAGAAATAGGAGTACAAACTAAATAGCAGACTATGTAAAGTATAGAGCAACCAATGAGTGATTCAGTTAAATGTCAGTTAGTGACTTTGGCAGTAAGAGTTATTGTACCTATTCAGTTAGTTAGTGACTTAGTCAGCGTATTTGTTGTCGATTGTTTAGCAAGGAACTTCTACAAGTACGTTTATAAGTAAGTTAAGCACAAAATAGTTTCGTAATTTCTGTTGAAATGTTATTTGTGAACTTGGCCAACCAGTTAATGTAGGCTCTAGCAAGCGTCAAAAAAACAAATAACCTAATTTGTTATCGTTACTTTTACTGTATTTGACATTTTATAAAATAATTCAAAACAGCACATTCAAAAGTAGAATATGTTACAACACTAGTGTCAGAAGTGGGGTTATTTTTGATGAAAATAAAAATAGAATTTTGATTAAACTTCAACTTTCAAGATGATAGTACGACCATGAAGTGAGATCGAAACTTTGCTGGTAATGATGAAACATTTGAAAGAAAGTCAATGAGAAAGAGATAGAAAATTTGAAGACGACAAAGAAGAAAGAGACATAATATTTAAAGAAGAATTAAGAACAAAAATAAATATTTCTAGAGAAATGGATGTAATAGTAAACAACAAGCTATTCATCTTGTTGCCCATTTAAAAGGACCAGTTGAAAGCAGTAATAACTATCAAGCATTGATAACTCCTTATCTAACAGGTCCAATGTGACATACTAGAAGAAAGTATCCAAAGCAAAGTTACAAGGCAAGGTATGGAGAAGGAAAGAGACTTTAGCCAAATTTGAAGAAAATTTTAAAAGGCTTGGCCAGTTATTTTCCCAGATGCTCCACAAGAAGTGGTGGATTCATTGGCACGTGACCAATTCATAAATGTCATAAAAATGAGGATATCTGAATTAGGCTGAAGTAAAATAGGTTTAATTTTGGTGATGAAACTTCAGTCTATTAAAGTTGTAGATAAACAACTAAAAAACCTAAAAACGAACACGATCATCATATTAAGTAGTATTGAAGCATAAACTCCCCTCGATAGTCTAGAAGAACTTAAAGTATCAGTTAGACACCTATCTACACAGAATGAAGAAAATAAACCAAAAGACAACAGATGCTTCAAGTATAACTTGAAAGGACATATTGCCAGAAATGCAGATAGAAGCCTGAATGAAATAAAAACTCCTCACGAAGGACGTTAGAAAAAAAGAAATTGTTATCAATGTGGGAAACATGATCACTACAGATGATACTATGAAAAAATAACAGCTGTCGCTAAGCTAAGTAGACAATATTCTTCGGATGAGTTTGAAAACTCAAACAGATCAAAGAAACAACAGAGTTAACAAGACATAGTAAAAACAGGAATTAGCTTTACTTATGGGACAAGTTTGAACTGAGAATGCTACACATGCCCTAAATAAGATAAGAAGTTTATTATTATGTTATTTAGTCCACAGTTTTAATGATGGGATGCCTTGCAGTGTGTTGATCGACACTGGTTCTACAGCTACGATTGTTCAATTTGATTTGGTAATAAAAGGTGTGAAATTACCTCTAGAGATAAATAAAGAAGATGGATTGACACAATTGATACAAACAGCAAGTGGATATAAACTTTCACCAAGTGGGAAATTGGAAGTTACCCTTACTTTAGGAAGTTTTTCTACACCACATGATGTGTGGATAATTGATATTGAGGGAGAGTACATATTGAGAATTGAATTCATGCAGGTACATGGAAGTATGGTTATGCTAGCTTCAAATAGCTTCACAGTCTGTAGCAAGGAAATCCTTGTGCACTACACGGCAATTACTAACAGAGGCTGAACTTCCAGTGATAACAAGGAGGGGCAGTTATTGTACAACAATAAGTAAAATAATCATACTAAGACATATTAGAAATAAATTTGCATCTAATGGCTGGGACATAGTAGAACTAAGCACTCCAACATTTGCTGAAGGACTAAACCTTAAAAGAACTCTCGTGGATCTGAAGAAAAAAGATATTATCATCAGATCCATGAACACAGCAGACCATAAAATCTGAATGGGACATTGCAAGATTTGTATCTGTATAGGTTGTATATGTAGTACTTTTCCATCAGAAAACATCTGAAGTAGCCAACTTTGAAGCAAGATATAATAATTCTGAAGCCAAAACCTTGCATAAAAGTTGTATGACCTGAGATGTGGAGGTCTTACAGCTGATTAATGCTATAGATTATATCAATTATTCACAGATTATTAAGATACTTTCTCCAATAGACCTCCTAACTTAGGATGAACAAATACGATATATGATAGGATTTATACTGGAGATGTAGCTCCAATACTTCAGTGAGCCAGCTTACTCCCCCTTGCAAAACAAGCTGAGTTTTTGAACAAGATAGAGCCCCCCCCCCAGTGGCACAGCGGTGTGTATGCGGACCTACAACACTAGAATCCGGGTTTCGATACCCGTGGTGGGCAAAGCGAAGATAGCCCTTTGTGTAGCTTTGTGCTTAATTACAAACAAACAAAAAGATAGAAGCCCTAGAAGAACATAGAACAACAGAACCACTTTCTAGCGTGTGGGTATCGCATGTTGTGTTTATGAAGAAGAAAAATGGATCCACAAGGTTCTGCATGGACTGTTAGAATGTGAATGAAGTCACAATGAAGAATGCTAACCAAATGCCAAGAATTGATTCTACTTTGGGTGATTTATCTGGATGAAAACAGTTTTACAACATTAAATCTGAAGAGTGGATATTGGCAAATGTAAGTCAACGAAGCAAGAAGAAAGAAGACAACCTCTTCTGAAGGAAATGAATTGTGGCAATTTATTTTGTTCCCATTTTATTATGTAATGGACCTGCTACGTTTCAATGACTAATGGAGTGTGCTCTTTATGGACTAGCCTAGAATGCCATATTCACCTACTTTGATGACATGAACCATATGGGAAGGCCTTTGATAATGCTTTTGATAGGCTAAGGAATTTCTGAAAGAGTTGAGGAAAGAGAATCTTAAGCTAAATCCCAAGAACTGTGAATTGTTCTATAAACAAGTGAATTTACTGGAATATAGTCAACCGAAATGGAAAGTTTAGACTCATATTAAATTAAATTTGTTCAAAATTGATAAACACCAAAAAATTTGCTTCAAGTAAGATAATGTGTAGGAAATATTATTATCTTTGTACAATCACTGTTTGACATAGCTTGTAATCAACACAAATTACTTGGAAAACTAAATAAGTTTTGCTGGACTGCTGACTGTGAACAAACTGGAAAAAGAATGAGTTGCTACTTCTGTATTACCATCTCCTCTGTTGTGTTCATGGACCTAATGATGACATCCTTCTTCTAAAAATTAATTTTTCAGTAAAGGTTAAAGCCAGCTTAACCTTGCATCCAAGTCTCCAGATGAAGTCAGTTACCAGTCTGTACTCCTTTTGATGTCAGTTACTCACATATCATGACACAAAGAGAAGTTCCTACAGTAAGAATAACTTTAAATTTTCTTCTTGATGGAATCAATCCATTTTCTTTATCTCTTGAGACAATTTTCCACTTTTCATTACCAAATTGGGTTAAACTATAGTAGCTGTAGAACCAGTGTCGTCCAACATACTGCAATGAACCCATATACTCGTAGACATGTTTCTTTAAGTAATGAACTTCTTAGCTCGTTTGGGACACATGTAGTATTCTCAGCTAAACTTCGCCCATAAGTCCAACCAATTCCTATTTTTTGATGTCAGATTGGCCCTTTTTTTGTTGTTTTGATCTGGTTGGGCTCCAAGACTCATCCTTATGGTAATATCTCCTTGATGTATTAACAGTTTCCTCTTTCTGGTATCCTTTGGGAAGAGTTCTTATTCTGTGCAAACTTTTGTCTGTAGTTCAAGCCACACTTGAAACATCTATTAGTTTGTGAT